AATGTCATGAGACAAAGTGTATGTGACTGCTGTATGGAAAGTGAATTTGCTCTGTAAATTTTCACCCAAATCACAATAAAAAAAAGAAAGAAAGAAAGAAAACAGTGTTATCAAGTTGATTTTGATTCATGGCAACCCCATGTGTGTCAGAGTAGAACTGTGCTCTATAGGGTTTTTCATGGCTGATTTTCAGAGGTAGATTGCCAGGCCTTTATTGCAAAGCACCTCTGGATGGACTTGAACCATCAACCTTTTGGTTAGCAGCCAAGCATATTAACCATTTGTACCACCCAGGGACTCCCCAAACAACCCTGCAAGGTAGGAATTACTATTCCCATTTTGCAGATAAAGAAACTGAGGCTCTGTGAGATAGCTCTTGTACCCCTATCTGTCTGACTCTGGATCCTTACTGTTTTTATTACCCCAACATATCGCTCCTCCATGAGACCATCCCCCTCCTCCCCAATCCTGAACACAGAAGCTGGGGCTCTGATCCTGCTGCCAGGCCAGCAGCCCTCACCTTTCCATCCCCTCACTTCTTCCCCAGACCCTTTAGTGGTATCAATCAACTTACGTAAGGCCTGTTCCATTCTGACTCCAAGATTTCTCTCCTCAGGACTCCCACCTCCACCCTTCGCATCTCAATGGATCCTACTCTTTCTCCTTGTAGCCTCTCCTAAATAAACCACCAGCTACTTCTATCTCAGAATATCCCTCCTCCTTCCTGCTCCAGCCTCACTTAGATCTATAGTGAGGCAGATCTATAGTCTTTCCAGGTTCCAAGTTGCTCTACTTAGGGAAGGCAGAGGAAAGGGCATTTGTTTTCTGTACCTTCTCCCGCCTCCACCCCTACTCCTCCCCAGGACAGGTGGCACTAAGAGTACAGGTGTGGGAGCCATGCCAAGGTAAACAGTTAACCCAGCCTCCAGGGCCTGGCTCTGGCAACAGTGAATGCCCTGGAGGTGCCCTACGGGTGTTCCTCTAGCACTCTTCATCTATAGAAAGACATGAAGCCCATAGACAGAAAAGGGTCTGTGGCTTTGGAACAGATATCTGAAAGGAGGCCAGCATCCATTGCACCTAGCAGAATGCCAGTAGAGCCAATGAGATGGCCTGGGATAGCTGGTGAGAGCCCAGCAGTGGAACAAGGCCACCATTCAACCCTTCAAAGGCCAGCTAGTGTCACCAGCTCCCTGGCTATTTGCCCACATCCAGTACCCACCCACTGTTGCACAAGCATGGCATGTGCTCATCTAGAGAGGGAGTGTAGCCACCCTGGGGGAACGACATGGAAATGCTACCCACAAATGCCAGTAGTGCTGACTAAGCGTATCATCTTTAGCCAGGAGGGCAGTATCCTATCTGAAGGAGGTCAGGGAGTGACTGAGGACCAAAGACAGCCCAGAAAGGGCCTGCCTGTACTCACTAGGTAGCCATGGACTTCTCCTGGAAGGTGACGAAGGCCATTCCCAGGGGCTGGTACTGGACCCTGCATTCCTCCTCTGTGATCTTCTCCATCAGCCTGTCCTTAATGCGTGTGTAGTAAAAGATGGCATCCTCCTGCAGGAGACATAGCCTCTTGTGAGGACATGGCTCTGTACAGGTGGCAGAGGGATCCTGGGACCCTTACCCATGCTCCCGGCTGGGCTGTGGGGCCCTTACCCACTCACACCCCTGCACTTCACAGCAGCAGAACTGGCCACAGGGCTTGGGGTTGATGAGCGTCCGTTGGCCTGTCTTCACCAGCACGTTTGTGTAGTAGGTCAGGCTTGTCTCAGTCTTCTTTCTGCAGCAGGGGTGAGGCACAAGGAGGAGACAAACTCCAGGCTCACATTCAGCCATCAGTCAGAAACCCAGAGCCAGGAGTTCAGCTTTCTGAACAAGAAAGGGGCAGGGTCACCCTCCTCCCCTCCCAGCTGGGGAATCCAAGGGCAGCAAGGATGGCAGGATAGGCATCACAAGGGGAAAGGGGACAGAAAGCTCAAGGCCAGCTTCACCTGTGGCATACCCACTTCACCAGATGACCTTACCTCTCTTTGCACAAGTAAATCAGCTTGGCCACGTCGTAGCACAGCTGGACCTCCATCACCTGGCACGTGGGATATGCATCCCTGTACCCAGCAAGGGCAGGAGGCAAGAGACGGCCATTGGAAAAGAGAGCATGTGAGGTGGAAAGACACCCTCCCTAATCTCCAAGGGCAAGGATGGTTTGCAGTCACGTGGCTCACTCAGGGCCAGCAGAGACCTTGTTCTTTTTATTTTTACCAAATGGAAAATTTTGAAATTTAATAAAAAGAGACTTATTTGATAGTATAACAGTAACTGCCCGAAATTGCTAAGTTTATACTCATTGGCTTTAAGTCAGTTAGCACTTTTCATGGGAAAAAAAAATGAACACTATCAATTAACCTTTTTATCCACCCAACATAATACATTTATTGTATGCTCTAGGTCAGCATCTACCTTGGACCATCACTGAAATTCCCTTCAGTATGTGACCTTTTTGGAGGTCACAGAATCTTTAGAGGGTCTAATAAAAGCAAGGGGGCAGTGGTCGTTCAGTAGTAGAATCCTTGCCTTCCATGCAGGAGACCTGGGTTCAATTCCCCACCAATGTACCTCAGGCACAGCCACCAACCATCTGTCAGTGGAGTTGCACATTGCTATGAGGCTGGACATATGGATTACACCTCAACATAAAGAAAATGAAAATCCTTACAACTGGACCAATAAGCAGCATCATAATAAATGGAGAAAAGATTGAAGTTGTCAAAGATTTCATATTACTTGGTTCCACGATCAACACCAATGGAAGCAGCAGTCAAGGAATTAGATGATAATATATTACACTGGGAAAATCAGCCACAAAAGACCTCTAAAGGGCTGAAGAGCAAAGATAGCTCTTTGAAGACTAAAGTGTACCTAACCCAAGCCATGGTATTTTCAATTGCCTCATATGCATGTGAAAGCTGGACAATGAATAAGGAAGACCAAAGAAGAGTTGATGCTTTTGAGTTGTG